CGGAAACCTTTATGTGTACAAACATATTCTCATAGCAAATTATAACAATGACTTATGTCAAAGAAACAGAAGTTCTGTTTTGTTCTGTGAAACACATAATTTATTATTAGAACATTACATCAATCTGATTAATGGAAAAAAAAATTACTCAAAAAATGTAGACTTGGAGTTAGTTATCAAAAGATATTTTTAATCTTACAAAAGAACCGTATTGGAAAATATATTCTAATTTCTTGTGATTGATCTTGTCACTTTGTAACACAGAGCCTAGTGTCAGTATATTGAGTTGTAGTTTTGTAGGCTGGGATTCAGTTTTAAAATTAAGCAGTGAGTGACTACAGATATTTTACAGTCAAGAGGCGGGTTTTAGCGCTAAAATCACAATCTCATCTTTCACTGCTGATCCTCCCTCCCCCAGGTGGGGAGAGACATTTCAATAAGATAAATATAACACAATTTAAGCAGCATGAGGCATTAACTTTTATTTAAAATGAAACATCAAATCTTTTTGTATTAATAGATATCCAGTGGGCATCCATCATGTAGGTCAGGAATCTGTGAACATTTTACACCAAAGATGTGACAAGTATCAGAGATCTACAGACTCATTCAATAAATTAGAATATACTTAAAAACCCATTTATTTCAGAAACTTTATAACTAAGTATAACATTGTATGCATTAATAACACATAGATGGATGTTTGAAACTCTATTTCTCTTGAATATGATGATTTTTCATTTACAGGGAAAGGAAACATGACATTTAAAATTACAACATAACATAAACCACTAAAAAAACATTCATCCATTTTCACAGTTATCCCCAGTGGGGCCACAAGGGGAAATAGTGTTTAGCATTTTTAACAGTGAGCCCCTCTTTAACTTCAGTATCTGATGGGACACTGATGGGGACCTTATAGGAACCGCAACTAATTATAAAAATAGATCTTATTGGGAAATACTCATCTTAGAAGTAAAAACAACACTTTAATTGTACCGTAGGTTATTTAGTTTTTATACATTTGAATAAAATATTTTCACAGGAATGTCGCCATATTGTTCAAGCAGCAATGCATTCTGGGTAAATTACATGTAGTGGTCCAACTGCCTGGCCCCTCCAGTACCATTATTAAGCCTATTTAATTTCGACCAGAGCGCATTGACACCGATCAGAGTGTTCAGCTCTGCCTGCCTCAGACATTTATTTTTAGCTCATTAAGGTAACGATCAGCTGTTAGCTTGTTGGTTCTGCTGGTATAAATGGCTCAAAGTGTTGTGGAGAAATGTCCAGGGTCCAGATCAGGTCCTTCATTGTGTTCCACTCCCACTGAGCTCTCCTTTCTTTCATGTGGGAAATTATCCAGATTCGNCAAAGTAAATTAGAAAACATGAACAGATAACACAGAATAACTCAAAGACAAGTTAAGATGAGAACATATTCTAACAAATATTCTTTGGTGACAGCTTCTGTGTCAGATTTAATATGAATGAATTTATAATTAATGAAAATAATGGTGGATCTGGCACAAAGTATTGCATTTCCTCTTAAGT